GCGACTGGTTGATTCATAAATGACAAATAAATGGTAATAATTCATTATAATTCACACCTATTGGCGAACGATGGATCAGATATTTTTGTGGGGACGGGTTCAAATATAAACACTCACTTTCAATTTTTGTAGGAAGCAGGTATTAATTAGCATGATTTTCTATTGATAAAAAAAATTAAATTCTTTGTGTATGGAGTGCACCAGATGCATCCCCTTTAAAACATATGGAATCTTTACACCTTCAACATTCTTCTTGTAATGTATGACTGTGATCAAGGTCGTTTTGTAACGTTTTTACTATGTATAAATGATTAATAATTGGGTCCGCTTAGGTTTCCTACCTAAGAATCACGTTTATATTGAATCAAACAAACTCCAATAAAACCAATGACACAGATAATACAACTGACTGAATTCCACTGTATATACTTTTTCCTTGATCCTATCTGAATAATGATTAGTAAACAAACAGTAAAGAACTATATAACAAAAGAATAACCTATAATCAATTCAATCAAAGATGCCAGCCTAACTAAATATTTATTAACCGATCCCTGAAGCTGCAGACTGAGTGTTTTAACCAACAGTTCTGTTGTTTCCCGACACAGCCTGCAACTACCTAAAAACCCTAGCACAAAGTCACAGGGACACCTTGAAGTCACAGAGACACAAGCTAAAATCACCAAGACACCATAGCTAGTCTCCAGGACACTATATTACTTTTGGTTACAGACACAAGCTTAAGTCACCGAGACACTATAGCTAGACACAAAGACACTAGGGAACTAGGTCCTTGAGCTGAGTGGTCTACCCAGCAATTCTGTTGTTTCCTGACACAGTCCAGAGACCCAAACTCACCAAACTCCAAGAGTGAGTTACACCAAAAGTAAACAAAAGCTTGATTGATCCCTGTATTTATACTATTATACATCTGCTCAATAAGTACTGATTGGTTAATAATTCTAAGAATTTGGTTGGCTGAAATATCAGTTTGACTGGCTAAATACAAACTAATTCGATTGGATGATTCAAAACCTATTTCAATCCACTATACTAATTCTATTTCATTACAGCGATCACAGGAATTGAAAAAATGTTCTGCTTGTATTTTTTGCTAAATTACAACCGATAATAACCACTGGGTTTTAATTCTGAAATAAAATCATTTTTTTATTTCTACTATTTATGGATAAAAATAATACCTGTGGATTTTAATTTTAATCAGTCGGAATTTCTGAAAACCTTGAATTGTTTGGCAGTCTATTCACGAATATCGAATAAAAAGAAATTTCAAATAAATTATAATTACATATTAGTTGTTTATAAATCATACAGTTTCAAATTGTTTGTTTGTTTGTTTGTTTGTATGTTGTTTAACGTCCCTCTCGAGAATTTTTCACTCATATGGAGACGCCACCACTTGCCAGTGGAGAACTGCAAATTTTGTCCTATACTCGGCACTTACGGTCATTGATCAATGAAGGATCTTTTTCGTGCCAGCACCTACTGCAACACGGGACCTGGGTTTATACGGTCGCATCCGAAGGACCGGTCTCCACGTCCCACAGTGGGATTCGAACCCGCAACGTAAGGATCAACTCCTTACTCTGTGACTCTTGAGCAGACGCTCTAGCCACTGCGCCACGCAGGCGACTGTTTTAATTTGTAGTTCGTAGATTATTTGAGTTTTCATGTAATGTACATGGACTTGTATACAAGTACATAACATGCTAAGTGTTTGCTGTGACTATTTTTAAAATACATGTAATATATGTAATATATGTAAAACTCTAGCAATTTTTTAAATGAAGGATTTTACAAGGTCTTGGTCATGTTGTTGTTATTTTATAAAAAGAGAGCTAAAGAAATATCTTTAACCCCCCTCTGGGTTTTTCTCTAATATAAAATTATAATGTAAAATTCAGCTCTGTAATGAAACGTGATAATCACAATTCTATGTAAAGTTCTCTTAATGGATTTTAATCTGGTCCCACTTGATATATATATATATATATATATATATATATATATATATATATATATATATATATATATATATATATATATATATATATATATATATATATATATCTCATTAGAATCTATATATATATATATATATATATGACTAATTAATTATGAATTAAAATCTTCACAAAAGGACGCATGAAATAAATGGTTAATTGGTTTCAAATTCAAATTTTGCAACTGGTTTTTAATCTCATATCTGAATAATAATTTTGTTCCTGTCACATATTTGTATTCTTTTAGATTTTTTTTTTTAGATCGATCACTGTTCGTAATCTTCATTATATCAATTGCAAACTAAAAAAATCCAATATTCCTGGACATTTCTTTTTAGATGAAATCAAGATACAACAGCTTGAAACCAATGCGTATGTAAAGGGTATGTAGAAATCTTTATATATTTAAAAAAGTATTGTATAGTTAGTTCTTTGATTTTGAAGAATTGAACTTATTATAGTTTTAAAGGTATTGCCACCTACCATTTTGACATCTACAATTATATATCTAGCTCAATATGCTAAATTTTTATTTTTATTTCTTTTAAACTGTAATATTTGTCAAATATAAGTTGAGGCTTTGCCTTACTTAAAGCTTATTCATAAGTGTAAGACAGCTTGGCTTTGAGGTTCAAATCAGTCACGATACGCTAGTGGTAGGGCGTTCGCTTCGTGGTCAGGGGGCACCTAGTCAAACCTTAGACGTAAAGTAGAAAGTGAGTTTTCCTTTGCCAAAGGAGGTGCATTACAAGTGAAAGTCACTGGTGTTTTAAATGAGACCTATAAAAATATGTCCCATGCCGTTCCATGTCATGGTAGGTGTTTGCACGATAAAGAACCCTAACTACTCAAAGACCCTGAGTGCTTAGTTCGGTCTAAATTTGAAGCTCTTCAGTGGTACATAGTGAAGTATCTATATTATGGACAAAATTCTTAATTGAGACTTAAAAGACATACAATCAATCAAATCGGGATTTTTGTATCGTCTGCAGAGCATAGTAGCACTTTGGGATCATTTTACCTGGTGTCTTTTGTCCGTCCGTTACTCTATCTCAATTTATATCTTGAGAACTGTAGAAGGTATAGAATTTATTTACTTGGTCACGTATCGCATCGTACTATGGCCTTTGTAGATTATCATGGTTATGGACTTTGTGACCTTTCAACTTGATCTCAGGTCCATTTTCCAAATTAGTTTATACTGCCGATATACAGAATATTTTTTGACATTTCTGATGTGAGTTTGTGTTATTTAAGAAGTGCACTGTTTGTTGTAAGACAAAGAACTACCAGTGGTGCAGTCCACTTGTTCTAGAACTTTGACCTATTCATCAAAATTATGCAGTACCTAATTCATTAGTGTTTTAATACCCCCCGAAAATGAAGTTGTTTTTTTTTGGGGGGGGGGGGGTATATAGGAATCACCTTGTCCGTCTGTCTAGCTGTCTGTCTGTCTGTGCAAACGTGTCCGGTCCATATCTTTCTTACGGAGGATCATTAGAATCTACCACTTCACACAAAAATGTCCATGACCTTAGAGTGTGTCATGACCTTGACCCAAGGTCATTTGGGCAAGTTCAAGGTAACTGAATGAAAATGTTCATAATTCGAGTCCGGTCAATATCTTCATGTGCATAAACTTGGTGAGTTCCCATTTTACACAAAGATTGCTTATTACCTGAAGGTGTGTCATGACCTTTACCCAAGGTCATTTGGGCAAGTTCAGGATCACTGACAGAAAAAGTTCATAATTCATGTCCAGTCCATATCTTTCTTATGGAGAATAATGTTGGGATGTTGGGAGTTTCCACTTCACACAAAGATTGCTTATTACCTGAGGGTGTGTCATGATTTTGACCTATAGTCACTGTAGAAAAAATGGATAAATAATGCATCAATACTTTCAAATAGATAAATACTTGAAAAATTGTTATTTAATTTTTCAGTGTAATAAAATAAGGTTATTATTTGTATTGATGTTTTATTAGGCTGCGCCTTAGTTTCATTTATCAAAAAAAATTAATGAGCAATTGCCAGTAAATTTTCACTCTAAATGTTTAAACAAACTGTGAACACCTCTTAGATCCATCAAATACTAGTATTAGTGACTTGGCACCTTCTCATAAAACCCCGCGGGGGTATTTGTCCCTTTTGGACAGTTCTAGTTAAATATAGAAGCACATGGGTTTTGATAAGTAGCATTTATATTACATGAGTATGAGTTGATAACACTATACATTTACACTGTATGATAAACAGTTGTCACACAAACTGAATTTTATACTACTAAAATACATCGGGATCGGTTTACCGATATGGATTGGACTTGAAATAAAACTGTAAACTGACAAATGGAATGAAGACAGACGGAAATTTCTTTCTAGTTTTAAATGAAATATTAAGATAACGAACAGATATCAAGCTCAAATGCCCATTAAAATAATACAAATTCGGAGCAGAGTAAACACGGACCTCTAAAAACATCAGAGGTAGGATGGGGTGCCATAGAGGTCTCAGCAAGGTGTTGTTTATAAATTGTATTCATATCATTTATTTCTTATAATTTCAAATTTATTATTTCTATTTCATTATTTATTTTAGCTTTCAGGGTTGAGGAATCTTACTTTTATTTGTTTACCACACTTTCTGAAGATGTCATTCTATCGAAGTCCTAATATCTTTAAAATATTTTTTTTGCAGGTATATACATGAAATTTAATGCTAGTATGCATATGAATAGCTGAACATAAGAGACGTTTACACTTTGCGACATAAAAGCAATATATCCCTGAAATATAGTTCCACCGACGTCATTATTATGACCTTGTTATTGTGTTTAATGTAAAATTGATTCATTAAAATATTTTTAAAAACCTTGTAAAAAGAAGTTTTGTATGAAAGAATAGAAAACAACTACAGAATACATTTCAAAATAACGACTTAGATGACAAATCTTTAAAATTGATGAAGCTTTTTCAAACTGATTGGATGATTTATATTTTTAAGATGCTGTTAATATTCCAACTGAAAGATTTATGGCATACATGAAAAAGGGGAGAACCACAGTTCGTCATGCACGAGGGATCGTGGTTGGTTGTGCTGGAGCAGGGAAGACGACTCTTCTCTACAGACTGATGGGGAAAAGTCTTGAAGAAATTAAGGAAATAAAATCGACTAGAGGTCTCCATGTCTACCAACACATATTTTCTGTGAGAAAAGGAGATTTAACAGGTACAATGTTCTTTAACCAGCTATGAATACAATTATTGTTAGGAAAAATATCCTAGTTAATAAACAAAAAATGGACGTAAGATCTTTTTTTGCAAATTTTGTTATCCCTCCGTTGTTATATTTTTCATTCATTGATTTCGGCAATCCATGGATTCAGACTGACATTTTCATATCACTTATTAGGCCTTTGTTTTTTGTACTAAGATTGACTTCGGATTGTTCTTATCTATATGATTAATACTTAGTGCTCATGGCATATCATATAAGCCTGGACACAGAAAAGTTATTTTTGCAGATATTCCGGCCCTTGATTACTTTTGTGGTATACTAATATGTGAAATCTTAATGAAATATATGGAGATAACGAACAGTATTCAAGCTCAAAAGTCCATTATACAATACAAAATAGGAGCAGAGCAAACACGGACCTCCAAACATCAGAGGTGGGATCAGGTGCCATGGAGGAGTGAGCATCCCCTGCCGACCGGTCACACCCGCCGTGTGCTCCTTGTCATGATCGGGAAATAACGAAAAAATCCGTCGACAATTCAGTGTGTAAATAATGGCCTAACAATTAGTATGAAAAACGTCAGTCAGCATTTGACTCAATGATAAATTGTATTTGCTGACAAGGTCATTGTATCGACCATAGAACTTACGAAATGATGACTATAGACGAGACAGCTGATATTCTTGTTTCATCAACTTATTTGTCAATAATTTACCTCGTTTTAGAAATTGTACATACGTAGAGCATGCTCTTGCGTATCGAATCAACTGAGAGATATAAACCCCGTTTGCAGGTGATGAAGGTATATTGTTGCATAAGTAATTGAAGTTGACGATTGAAAAGTTAAAGTCATCACGTTTATCATGAAGCTTGGTTGTTAGATTACCATTAACGTCTTTTGCAAGTAAAATATCCAAATATGTATCAGACTCTGTGGTATCTTTTATCTCAAGCTCACCGAGATATATCGTATCGACATAAGAATGAAAATAACCATTGTTAATTGACAATACGTCGTTGATATATCTAAATGTCGAGTTGAAGGTCACAGCAAGTGTTTTCTTCTTTTCACGTATAAGATTTTTGACAAATTCTGCTTCATATAAATACAAAAAAAGGTCTGCTAATAACGGGGCGCAGTTGGTACCCATGGGAATTCCAATAGGTTGTTGGAAGACCTGGTCTCCAAAAACCACATAGATATCGTCAATCAGAAACTCAAGCATATTTTAATGTCAACTTCAGAGTACTTGTGTGTACAATCAGAATATTTTTAACAAAATGATTTTGCAAATGACCAATGACAAGGTAAGTAAATTTACGAGTTCCATTTTTATTGAAAAAGCAGCTGTCAATGATATCAAAAAGCCTGGACTTTAATTTATCGTGGGGAATGGTTGTGTATAAAGTTGAAAGGTAGTAAGTTTTTAAGCTGTTGATTTTGGTAAAATCTTGTGATTTCAAATTTTCCAAAAAGCTCCTTGGAATTGTTAAGTGTCTACATCTAATTTACACCACTTCTCGAATATATTGTTGCACAGTACTCTTGAAGTTCCTCCTTCACTACTGTTAATATCTAAGTGAGGAGTAAAGAAAGAGGCTTGGTTGAACATTTACTGGAACCCTCTATGTATCTTCGTAAGGATTTTTATGAAGTTTCGGAATCCAATATAGATATGGTAATTCAAATTCATTTTGGTTGTTTGAAATATTCAAAACTTACGTATGATTTTGAAGAATTTCTTCCTTAGAAAGAGAATTATGAGTATTAGTTGAATTACCACTTGTAGATTAAAATCCAAGTTCCTCTAAAATACATTTAATATAATGAGCCTTACAAACAAAGACAATGTTGTTACCTGCTTTGTCGGCAGGGACCAGTAAGTACTGATCATGTAATGTATCTAATTTCTTTTTTCCACTGGATTATTGAACACAGAAGAATAGATGGTTCTCACATTGCCCCTCATCTTTTAATGCGCGATTTTAGCATATATCTGATACATTTAATCCATTCTGACAAAGTGTCTAGGTCTTCTTTTTCTTGTCTGGCCCATCGCCTGGCGTAATCCTCTACAGAATCCATAATATTTATGAAATTCCGACGCCAGTTAAAGGATCGGGGTTCCCTATATTAAGGACCTATTGAAATTAGTGATCTAAGGTCCTCAGTATTAACTATATTAACGTCACTGGTAATAACGTGTCAAGCAGGACTATAGTTATAGGGTGTTGAAGAACATGAACACGATGGAGGATTATGTTTCAGGTATTCGATATCCAGTGTTTAATGATATTTTAAAAACAAACAGAAACCTCCTACACTCTAGAAACTGTTGAAATAATATATGTATATTCCTCGTTTAAGAACCAATGTAAAAAAAAATAAACAAGGAACAATGCAGAGGTGTTGGCTTACAACTTTGTCAGCTTTCATAGAAAGAAGGATGAGCAAGAGAAAGCTTTTCATTCACTGTTGTAATTTTAATCATCTTGTTTTTAAATAAAATTAGTAAGAAAGATGAGTAAAAACCCCGGTTTTTCAGCGGCATATTCGTTATTGTGGTTCTACGAATCGCAGGTGGAATCGGCACGGCGATACAATTTTTAGTAAAATATAAACTTTACAAGTAAATGGCCAAAGAAGATTTCATTTGATACATGGCTGCATCATTTTTTTAATACCATTTATGCATTTTAAATACCTTCATGCTATATAAGAAACACTGCTATTAAACAGTATCTGTAGGTCATATCTCTGACCGTATGTCATAATGTGAAATCAATCCGGTAGGTTGGATAAGACTTATACCCTTGAAGGCACGAAAATACTCTGTCTTTTAAAGTTCCTTTTTTTCTGTGACCACAATAATATTTTTAAATAATTTGTATTCTTTTAAAAGATGTTTTATGCTACGTGACAAAACAATATTTTTTTTCACCAAGAAACCTGCCTCTGATTAAAATCTTGAAATTTTATTGGTCGAGAAGAATACTGTATTAAATCCTATTAAGATATATTTTAATATGCCCCTTCAACGTGACCTACTCACACCATATCAAATCAATATGCTTCCTCCATGTGCCATACTGTCCAGATCTTGTTCAATGTTTTTTTTCTCGTTTGAACACGCAAGGAGACTAATAAATGACGTCATATAAGCATCAAACGACGTCACAATGTAAACAGTTGTTACGGAAGTGTTAGGTCAGAGAAAATGAATTTTATTTAAAAAATTTCGACAAAATGCATTCGTTATGTAGAAACTTATAGGGGTAATACAGAAATATATTCTTTGTTGCTTATCATTTTAGTAGTGTACTATTTAAACGACAAAAACAAAGATTCTTTTTTAAAAAAAATCCCTTTTTAAAGTTCCAAGGACCTTTCTCGCTTTAAAAAGGTCCTGTGAAAATTTGGTGATCTTAAGTAGTCGTCGCATACAAATCCGAAAGATTGAAAAGAGTATTTGTGTTAATAATACATTCGATTTTTTAAAATTAACTAAAAAATGATAGACACAAAAGACAAACGTATTTTTTAAGATGAGGTATAATGGCATAAAGTGTATTTTTTAACACCCAAGCTGTCAAACATAGAACTTTAACCCCACCCCCTCCCAAGTCATATTTTGTTTTTTTTTAAATGCGCTAAATTGTATACTCAGTATATTGTAGGAGAAATCTAATTTAACAAAAAATATTATAGTTTCTAAGTAGGTTATTGGCAATTTTTGTTTCTATGAAGTCACAAACTATTCAGATTTTATGTTATTTTTCAGAAAGAGCAAACATGGACAAAATTTGTTCGAGTTTTACTATAAAGGTTATAGAGCTCCATAACAATATTTACATTTTTCATTGATATTATTATGCTACACATTATATCAAACTATTGAGTTGGAGCAGACCTGCACTTTTACTCAAAATATCGACGGAATATAAACCTTTTTTCTGAATAAATCATGAAAATTTTGAATTTGCGTCATTTTCTGACGTCATATCAAACATATATCGTCATGGTTTATTAAAATATTCAGTGCTTTGAAGTCTGCAGATATCACCCTGTTTTAGAATATAATTATGTATTTCTCCGTCAAAGTTTGATTTGGGGAGCAAATATTGGTTATGACCGAATATAGTCCTTTATTGCCAATCTTTACAGAGTAAACAACAATATTTATTGATTTTTCAGAAACAAGATCAAAATTTTCTTTAAAAACCATCTTGTACACAGAAAATGATCATTAATTTCGATTTGGGCTGAAAATGGCCAAAAACATAAACATAAAATAGTCTTAAAATAAATCAAGAGGCCCAAGAGCCTTAACGGTCACCTGAGTATAATACAACAATTTAGAGGATCCACAGAGTATAAAATGAACTGAAAGATGAAGCTTTGTTGTCCAAAAGCAAGAAAAATAGGGTGATCAGGATCAACAAAGTAATTAGTCTAGTATTCATTAACAGTTCATAATTAGCTTCTAATCTGTTCCCCATTTATCACTATCACCATACAGTATATTATCAAACTATCAGTGCTTTTCTACTATATTAATTCCTTTTTGGAATCCCTTACATCGGCCTCTCTTGGTCTTTGATGAACTTTTAATAAGACAAGTTATTTTTGTCTCATTTTTATTTATCTATTACTTACAAGTTACCTGATCATTAAAACTATGAAAGTACTTTTTGTATTATACAATAAAAATTCTTCCAAGTACCTTTGAAGTACATTATTTACAGTGATCAATTATCAAAAGTAAATGGCAAAGGGGAATAACTCCTCTCAGTATACTACAAATTAATAGAGCCTTGGCCAGGACCAGAACACTTGACCACCAAATATTCAAAAATCTGGTAAAAATACCCTTCCTTATTAAAACTTTTACTCTTTTTGCCTCTGATATGCTCAGGTGCAGAGAAGATTTTTAAAGAAATAATGCATTTTTACTACTGCAACAGATCCACAAAATTATCAATAGACCCCCCCCCCTCCCCACCAAGAAACACCAGATCCTCTGACCCTGGGACCAGAAGTTTGCTCATCATAAGTAATCACTTTGTTTATCTGCTTATCACTAAGGAGCAGACAGGATTATTTATATAGAATTAATGCATTTTCACTATATTATCAAGAGCCCCACCCTTACACCAGCACATCTGACCCAGGGGTCATGCAATTCACTACTCTGGAAGAAGCACGCTTTCTCATCATAACTATACACTTAGACTCTTTGCTTTTTAACCAGAAGCAGAAAAGAATATTTTCAAAGAAATTTTGCTTTTTCACTATATAATCAATAGAGCCCCCCCCCCCCCCTTTCACAAGAACCCTTGAGCCTGGGGCCATGAAATTCACAATTTTGGAAGAAGCATCCTTGCATATCATAACAATGTACTTAGTTTGTTTAAATAATACCCAAGGGCAGAGATGAAGATTTTCAAAGAAATAATTTACCTTCACTATAGGATCTATATAGCCCCGCCCTAGCACCAGAACCCCTGTCCTTGGGGCCATGAAATTCATAATTTTGGAAGAAGCGTCCTTTCTTATCATAACTTTGTATTTAGTTTGTTTAAATAATACCCAGGAGTAGAGAAGAAAATTTTCAAAAAAATAATGCACTTTCACTATATGATCTATATAGCCCCGCCCTAGCACCAGAATCCCTGACCCTGAGGCCATGAATTTCACAATTTTGGTAGAGTCACCCTTGCTTATCATAACCATGTATTCAATTTCTTTCAATAATACCCAGGAGTAGAGAAGAAGATTTTCAAAGAAATAATGTACTTTCACTATATGATCTATATAGCCCCACCCCAGCACAAGAACCCCTGACCCTGGGGCCATGAATTTCACAATTTTGGTAGAGTCACCCTTGCTTATCATAACCATGTATTCAATTTCTTTCAATAATACCCAGGAGTAGAGAAGAAGATTTTCAAAGAAATAATGTACTTTCACTATATGATCTATATAGCCCCACCCCAGCACAAGAACCCCTGACCCTGGGGCCATGAATTTCACAATTTTGGTAGAGTCACCCTTGCTTACCATAACTATGTATTCAATTTCTTTCAATAATACCCAGAAGTAGAGAAGAAGATTTTAAAAAAAATAATGCACTTTCACTATATGATCTATATAGCCCCACCCTAACATCAGAACCCCTGAACCTGGGGCCATGAATTTCACAATTTTGGTAGAGGGCTCAATGCTTACTACAATCATTCCAACAGTTTGACTGCTTGATGTCCAGGAGTAAAGAAGAAGATATTTAAAGATAGCACTAATTTTGATGGTTTTAGCCCCACCCCTCGGGCCCCAGGGGGGCGGGACCATGAAATTCACGATTTTTGTACCCCTTCACCCATTGATGCTATATGCCAAAATTGGTTGAAATTGGTACAGTGGTTCAAGAGAAGAAGCTGAAAATGTTCAAAAGTTTACGACCGACGGACGACGGACGACGACGGACGAAAACAGATAGCAATAGGTCACCTGAGTGACTCAGGTGACCTAAAAAAAACCTGTCTATACTTTAATGAAATACATGTAAATGTTGTAGCTACGGAAGATGAGTCCTTAAAGAAACCATTGATCAGAATTCCAGCATCTGAGCTTCAACAGGAGGGACAAAACCCCAATGATGACTCAGCGAATATTGAATTGGAGATAGACACTGGAAACAACGCAAGACTGGAAAACATTAAGGCTGATATGAGTGCTGGAAAAGAATTTAATGCAAGGCAGAATACTATACTGGCTCCAAAGAAAAATGAAACAGATGAATCACGAGATGAAAGAATTGATCAACAGCTTACAGAGAGTGAAAGAAGAAAAATATATGCCAGGGGAAATGACAAAAATGATGAACAACTGGCACGGGATGTAATGGGAAAAATATTGGATGCCAGGGAAAATGAAATAAGTGTCAGCATGATTGATTTTGCAGGACAATTTGCTTATTATGCTTGCCATCAGATCTACATGAGATCGGAAGCATTCTACATACTGGTGACGGATATGAGTAAAGCTTTCCAAGACTTCGTGTGTAGTGAAACAGATGAATGCGAGGGATCTATCTTCTCTACGTGGACTTACAAAGGCATGTTTCTGATCTAAAATTTACTTTCTTTGAACTTCCACTGTATGTGAGATTCATTTTGTCTTACTCATGGGACATTACATGTAAATCTCAACGTCTGCCTCTTAGTTACCTTTACATTATTAACTTGACTATAGATCTCGCAGATGAAGAGACAGGTATTTCATATTTTCAAGAATGCATTAATTGTGAAAAAGCAATTCCTGATACATGATAATTTATGACCTCATGACCTTGACAATGAAATTTTACCTGCTTTCAGTAATTTTAACCTTGACCATAACATTTGGACTGAAAGAGACAGGATGAGCTTATTACTTTCATAATGCAAACTGTTTTACGCATAATGAACAGACAGGCAAAGATAGACAAAACAATTTCAATATGTCACAACTCACTGCATCCCAATTAGTAAGGCTTCGAAAGTGGGGGTCTTTGTATGTTTTTGGTTGTGATTTTGCTTATAATAGTCATATTCAAATTTCACAATTTCGAAGCTTTAGAAATGAAAAAGTTGGATACCCTAACAAAAAAAATACTACAGAATACTATAGTTTACGTTATTATACCTCAAGAACTACTCCTTTAAAAATCAGAGCTTCTCCCTTGGACTACTCCCTCATGAATATTTATTAATAATTTTAACCAATTAAAATGAAAACTGGGCGGAGCGTTCAAGGAAATTCGAGTCTGTGACGTAATGTTATAAGGAATGTAACTATGACGTCAAAACATTTCGACATGCAATGTCAAAATCATAATGGAGTTCTACCAAAATGAGGACAACGATAATCCTTTGAAATATCAGTTAAAATATTTTATATTTTTTAAGATAATATTATTTTCAAAATTTTATTCACATGCATTTGTGATTATTGTTTAAAAAATGACCGAGTCTCTAGGTTAATAGATTTCCTACGATTTTTGGTTAAATAAAGTAAAACAGTTATGGAATTGGTACTCGGGATATATCAATTGAATTTCCGCCGCCTTAGGAAATAGTTTTCTCCCTTGCTATTTCCCTCATACCTAACTATCCCTAACTATATAATAGTTTACTATAGTAAATCAAAGTTGCAAGTCATCACTATAATTAATCATACTTTTCAAAGAAAATCAAATTGTCAAATTGATCACTATTGTCAAAGTTTAAGATTAATCACAACTGTGATAGATGTCTCAATTAATTTCGCATTTATTGCACATGTAAGCCAATAACAAAGAGTTTTTATCTTTTACAAAAGTTTATTAAAACACTGTGTTCGTGTAGAGTTTTAATTATAAGTCCTAGACGTTCATCAGAATAGACCAACGCACTTCTTACAACAAAAGATAAATCCAAGATATTCAGGAAGAACTAAGAACTAGAACCCAAAAGTAATAAAAGAAAAAAAGTTCGAAAAATGAGACAAAATAAAGATGCGTGTTTCAGCAAACAGGATATTTGATGCTCAGTATTCATGGTCCCGGATACAAAAGTACTTTTTATTGGCTTAACTACTATTGCCTTGCCACCTACGCTTGGTCCGTAGTTCTGTCCGTTGACCAATGAACCTCACTTTGGCATCACCCTTCAATTAAGGTATATCTACAAAAGTATTATTTATGGCTCGAGTCCCCATCTCTCCACCACAGGAGTTTTAAACCAGAGTTCTTTTACGTATCTACTTCAAAGTTACCAGAGTTCTTTTACGTATCTACTTCAAAGTTACCGATTTTATTGCTCTTGGTCAAGAATCTTAATAGTATATTCCTTTTCTCCATTCAGAGAAACTGGGGGATTAGCCAAGCCATGTGCCTATAACGAGATAAAAAATAAATTCATTTTTCATAATTTCACTTTGTTAAATTTGTTTAATTCTTTTTATCATTTGCACGCAAAAATGACAATGCCTGAATACTTTAACAGCGAAATTAATTTTGATTAACACAACCAAAAAGTACGCGCTTAAAAATACTAAATACAAATTGATGTACATTGTTATTAGAGTACTTATACTTCTGGCTTGAATCCATAAAAACGTTTGGTGGAACCAGTCCCAAGATACTTGCTGTGGCTACACATGCAGAGAGCAAAGTAAAAAAGGTATTAACAAATGTTATGAAAGTTTCAAAAATATATTGTAGAGAGTAATGATGATTTACAATATTCCATCATAAATGTGATCACGTGATAACAAATTCTCTTTGTCTATAACATGGTTAAAAGATAATTTTTTTTCTCTTAAATTTATTGTATTTAAAAGAAATACAAAATTCCAACAAATTGGAGAAGGCAACATTACCATAAGTTAATGACAATTTAATTAGATTTGATAGTTTTTATTTATCAGCAATGTCAGCTGAAGGTCATCAACTGTCCCTTGACATTGCATGTGGAAATCATGCAATGCCTTCTTTCACATTTTTTTTTTCTTTTTAGGTAGAATACCAACTTGAGATGAGAAATCCAAACAAAAAAGATATCGGCCTCATTGAACTTTCTCTATTTTTTTTTTCAATTGTTTAATTCTAAGATCAGAAATACTTCATTTTCAGAATAGATTTTGTACGACCTGTCATTGCTGTGAAATATGGAGATAACGACCAGTAATGTAGCTTTAAGGTCCATTAACACAATACAAATCGGGAGCAGAGCCAACACAGTCCTCTAAAATTATCAGAGATTAAGTGCCATGGAGACGTCAATATCCCCAGTCGACCTGTCACACCCATGTGCTCCTTGTCATGTAAATAATGGCCTAACAATACGTATTAAAAACGTCAGTCAGCATTCGACTTAATGATGAGTTGTATTTGCTGAAAAGTCATTGTAGCGACCATAGATCTTGCGAAATGCTGCTAGCTTTAAACAGGACCGTTGATATCTTTGTATCATCAACTTAATTGTTGTTTGTAGCTTGCCATGTGCTTACGTAAAGCATGCTCTTAGGGTACTCCAATCCTCAGGTTCTTAAAATCAGACGTGGAATAATTGAAAATGCTCATAAAAATATCTCAGAATTTTCAAATTTATAAGTATTTATCCATGGAAATTCTTCAAACTTCATCATTAATGTTAATCATATTATATAGGTAAAATAAGTAAATCTCAAATATATTTTCAGTAAATGCGAATAAAAACACCTACCATGCATTGAAAATTGATCAACAAATATATGTTAGGATAAAAAAAAAACTATAGCTATTCAGGCATTTGAAGAAAATTGCATAATTTTTGCATTTAAATGGTACTTCATTTCTTCTATTTCTTCAAATATTTTATACTGTAGAGTGTATTAAGGGTTTCCTATAATTGCAAAACACCACAAATCATTTTTAATTGCATGACATGCCAAGGAACACAGGTATCCAAGGCTAGATTAAAGGAAACTGGATTTTGTTAAATTATACTTTTATTGGGTACAGATATATAAACTTTTTATAAGACCAATTTTAAGACTTCAAAGAACCTTAAATCACACTGAGATGCATAAAATGAAAATTGTTGTATGAAAAGATTTCAATTTCAAGTTTTATTTTGAGACTTTTTGATTAAAATAATAAATTAAAAAGTAATCCTTCCTGGCTTAGGATTGGATATTCTTAAGTGCCGAATCAACAGAGCTACTTAATCTCCATATGCAGATGATAATAGAATAGTGCTACATAAACAAGGGATTTTGTTGATAGGGAATTTGAAGTCATTACATCACATGTATCATAATGTTTTGTTGCTTAGTTGCCATTTATGTCCTTTTTTAGTAAATATTCAAATATGAAATAGATGGGTCAGACTCTGTGGTGTCTTGTTTCAAGTTCAAAGGAATATGTATAATCAATGTAAGACTGGAAGTGACTATTGTTAATTGATATAACACACCTATTTCATATTGAATATTTTACTTGAAAAGGACATTAATAACAACCTTACACCAAAACGTTATGATAAATGTGATGTGAGGACTTCCACCTTTCTATCTTCGATTGCTATTGTTTATGTAGCACTTGTTAGTTGATTGTTTTACGGATTACTCCGTTTATTGGAGGAAAAGCTGTTTTCCATCGGCCCATATGTTTGCTCTAATTTACGACTCGCATTCTTTGCGAAATTTTATGATATTATATACATAGAACGAGAAAATACATCAAAACAAACAACGAAAAGTTAATTCTATGTTTGCAAAATTATTTTTAAAAAAATAGAAAAAAAACTAGTGTGATTGATTTTTTCAGCTTTTATTCTTTGGTAATTATAAATTGGAATAATTTGAATGCAGGAACGGAATTGTTTCTGGAAGAGTCTTTGGACATCAGGACCACATGAAGATAAAAAGTGGCTCCGTGATTGCACTGGATATAAGGAATTTGCATTAGAACTTATTGAGATGGGTGAAGAAGACAGCCATGATCTGCAAGGTCTAAAAAGATCAATTGTTGAGGTTGTATCGCAAGGCATGGATACAAAGATAGAAGTTCCCTCAGCGTGGGCTCTTCTTGAGTATTTTTTGAAGAAAAACGGAAAAGCAAATCTTGTCAGTTAGCGATATCAACAAAGTGAATGAGGAACTTCCAAATGGATACCAATTGAAAAGTCAAGAAGAAATTCTCGATTTTCTATCATTTTTCCATGAGCATGGAATGCTACTCTTTTTTAATGATCAGGAACTGAGAACGCATGTTATTCTTGACATACAGTGGTTTTCGAATGCATTCAGTAAACTAATTGCGGACGAGGACCACATCAGCAGAGACTGCCAACGAATATACATTGAAGAATGGAATAGTTTCAATGCCACAGGAAATCTGAAGAATTCACTGATAGATGCCTTGTGGGAAGATGAATTATATGTACAACATAAGACAGAACTTATGTCATATATGGAGAGACTACGAATGTTAGTCAGCATCCAGAAAACCGAAGACGAAATCTCTTGGTATGTCCCCTGCATGAACAATAAGCCTTCACACGTCATGTCTTAGACAGGGAATGGGAGTACTCATCTGTTTTGTGTTTTCGATTTAAATCCTTTGCCTTGTTCATATATTACAGACTTATTGCGTATTGCATGAGTTTCCTAAGGTGGAAAGTGCAGATGGATAATGACAATAGTCCATGTCTGTATCTCACAGCAGCAATTTTTGAAACCAGAAATCACACCGTTCTTGTTGGTATTTTTGAGAACGACATTCAGGTTCAAGTGTTGAGAATCAAAAACCTGCAACCCAAAGATTCCTGCCTCATTGGGAAAACTGTTGAAAATGCCTTAACAGAATTGACAAACTCATTTGAAAAACAATCCTTCCAAAAGGGTTATAAATGTCTCAACATTTTCTGTAGTAAATTGGATACAACATTCATTCCAGAAAACGAACTCTCCGGGATTCAGTACAATTGCCCAGTTGGAAAGGAAAAACATGAAATAAACGTACGGTGGACTTTAGCATTCTGGAGAGAGGTAAGTTTTGGTACATACAGTGAGGATCTTTTTTGTCTTTCTTTGTGGTATGCTCGAATTGAGGTGATATGTCATGACCAAGATTTAGGATTATATCTGAAATGTAAATGTCTTTGGAGCTACAAATCTTAAAATATACATTGAAACTGTTACGACCATGCTGTAGACAAATCCGTCTCTTTATTATTGATAAATCTAAAATATTTTACTATATAAAAACAAAACTTTTTAATTGCCATTTTTTGTACAATCGTACTTTTAAGAGGTATTTTTCTTTACCTGAAAATTCAGCAATATCTGTAGAATAAAGGATTTTTCTTTTAATTATGAATTGCTATTTTGTTTCAGAAGGGTGAGAATGTTTGTTTTGCTACAGCAGTGTCCTCTACAGGAGTTTTTGGCGACCGTACTAGATTTGCTAAATTGGGGATGGCGATAATCGATGTATTAACACAGACACTTCGAGACATTTTAGAAAAAGAGATCCCCTCTACACATATTTATGGAAAAGTGAACTCAACAAAACTACAAAAAGGCGTTAAAGGTCCAAATCCTGAACAAGAGAAACTTTTGAATGACGCAAAAAAGTATGGGTATCAGAAGTTTGACATTACTCTTTTGTATATGCTTATAAGAAACTACTGCTCGAAAATCGATAAGCCCACAAATGATTGGGGTTTAAAAACCTTACCAGCAGCAGGGGAGATAACTGTTGGTGATGATGTGGAGAGGATCCGACTGATTCGAAACGAAGTGTACGGTCACGTGAGTTCAGCCTCTGCCTCACAAGACGAATTTGATGAAAACTGGTCAATCATCTCCGATATCTGCAGACGACTTAAAAAATGTACAGGAAAAAGTTACTTGAAAGAACTTGATGACATTAAGGAATTTTCCTTGGGAGAAGATAAACAAGAGGCAATTATAAAACAAATTCAAGTCGTGTGTGAGCATGATAAAGAAATCCTCGAGAAAATGGAGACCATGAAAACTGGAATACTTTCTCTACAGACAGATACGACGTTAATGAAAGCAGAATTGCAAGAAATAAAATCAGCTATGACCTGTGGGAAAAAAGGTAACCATATTTTTCTCATATATCTGTGAAAATCTGCTTGTAGAAACACATAAAAGTTACTGAAAAAAAAAGAATATTTTAGAAAAAAAATGTAACAAGGAAGACCGACGCTCTATAAGAGAGTTACCTCTCAAGTAAAACAATATTTATATTACTCACAGTTTATCTGACCAGAGTTTAATAATTATGACCTTTAAGCAGTCAACTCATACAAACCCAATGTATCATGGAATTATGGACATCTATTTACTTTATATTTTTCAAATTGCATACAGAATTGTATTGTCGATTTTGGACAATATAACTTTTTATGGCTTATCAAAGATTTACCGGGTAGGTTGTCAATCCCCCTCCCCCAAAATAAAAAGGATGCTTCGTATAATCATCCTTGTAATAAAGATACATATTGTTTGACAATATAATGAAAATGCATTTTAGAGATTTAAACATTTACCTGGATTAAGAAAACCCTTCTAAAATTAAGAATGTCATAAGATTTAATGCTACGAATAAGAGAAGGATGGAATAATCGTTGCTTCCTTATTTTTTCTCAGATGAAGAAGAGTCCTGGTGGCCCAGATGGTGTAGAATCCTGTAAATATAAATTTATTGTTTACTTTCAAATGCAAATGACAGAAAAAAGATATTAGACTGTATTGAGAAAAACATGTTTAAAAATGTCATTAAATATACTTTTTAGAGCATACTTATATATTTTACTTTGAATGTCAAATGTTTCTAAATATTAGCTTATCACCATACTATAATTCAGAAATATTTACTAAACTGTCATGTTATGTGCATATTTGTTAAATTCACTTACCTGTATACTAAATTTGCCATACTATGGATTTTTTCGTTCGCCCAATCATGGCAATCACGGCTGGTCGGCAGGGGAATGCTCGCATTCGGAATATTTCAGTGCATACTCGTATACGTAATGCAAACTCGGCGTTCAATAATGCACCAAAATATTGAATGCTAAAATTATGTACATTTTAAGTAGGTTTTATTTTATATGAGATTATTTTTTATCGTAATAAAGTCTTTACGAGACCTTTTTTGAGGAGAACAATTAGTCTACTAGTGTTTGATTTGGATTTTACCATAATTAAGTTAGTAGAATTTTAAGTGCCTTTCATTCATTATCATTTGTTTGATGAATTATAAAAATTATATTTTATTTTACATTTCATTAAATAAACATTTTAATCTATTATGTAGTCAATTTTAGAAATAGTCTTTACCTGTTTTGAATTAACAAGGATTACTAGGCCTATATGTAATTATTTTTTACAATACCTAATTAAATATACTTATGGGATAAAGGATGGCGTTTACTTTGATGACAAAAAATTTCCACGGATAGGAGTGAAAAACCAATAATTGTAAATTATAGACCCTTGCCTGTAGCGTTATTGTTCACTTTAAAATCACTAGGGTAATGGCGTACTTTTCATGCTAGCAGTCCCTGAGTATTTCTTTGAAAATACCTATAATTTTTTTTTTACACCGTGACCAATATTTTCTTTATGAACAAGATATAACAAATAACAAAACTCTTTTGATAATTAAATAAATGCTTATTATAAGTAAACAATTAAAGTTTGAACCATGGCTTTCTTCATTATTTCACTTCGAATTTCCTCTATCAACTTTCTAATTTCGACCCATTTTAATCTGATATTTCCAAAATCTGATGAAAAGAACTCCAAACCATTTATAGCCTTAGTTGCCCTTTGTTGTCCTTATAATAATGTTTTAGAAATTATATATGGTCAAAAATCAAATTTTTAAGATATGTTGTCTGCAATGGATTTTGATCATATTTTTGTAAATTCCTCATTGCACGACATTTAATTATTTGAAATATTACATGAACTTTATTATACAAATAATATTTTCAAAATGGCATTGAAACACAATCAATCTTACTTTTTTGAATAATATTGTTTGAAAGAAGAAAAAAAGTTTCCGAATTTCCTCTGTATCACCATTTTTTTTTTCATATTTTATTAAATTAATAAAATACTACTTTTCAAAGCGATATTCAGTCCATTTAAAAGATTTGTTACATGTATATAACACATTGTACTTGACAGCATTCCAGTTAAAACCATAAGTAAACGTAATCGTGACATTAATTTCATTCACACAGAATTTAACTTGACTGTTCATTTTTTCTGCGCCAGCTTCATTCATAATCTTCGCACAATCAGTAATTATGAGGATGTTAACTTAAAATTTGTTTTAAAGGAGTCTTAAAGAAAAAGTCACATCTTGTTCACAAGGATCTAAAAATTTAAAAATCTTGCTAGGTGTAATTTTGCCTCGGGTCGAAAAATGAACCGGGGGTCATTCCTGGTTATCTGGATAGACTCGGCGATATAAATCTTGTATAGCTTGCCCAACATTTCGGAAAGATTCAACAGTTTGGCCTCTGTCAAATAACTTTTTTCATAACTTTGTGTCCAAATCTACAGTCCATAGATTCTTTAATTTGAGTCCAATCGTTCCAATTGTCCGTAAACAAAAGTTTCTGCTTGTCCGCGTAAGAGTGTTAAGAATACTCTTCTGTTTCTTTCTTTGTCCCAGAGATTTAATTCACTAATATTTTCAAAATAGTGAACAAATTCAATCCTTAGGTTTGATCCATCACCGCTTAATGTTCTGTGACAGAGATCGGGCTCGGAATGTCTTGATACATTACGTCCGCCGGACTTTATCGTAGTGTGATACGATAGCGGCCAAGGGTAGTCCGGGAATATACGGGAATATATATGAGCGTTCTGTAGAAAGCTGGCAGTTGCCAGTCGGAGCTCAAGGTAGAGGGTCATAAGAGGCGTAATAGTGAGGTACGGCGGAGGTTAATTAGGCTTGTAATTAATACAGTATACAGTGTCTAGTATACTGGGTCATAGTATTTGAAGGCTAATAAAGTTGTTATTACTTTTCCTCGAATTTTATTAAGATCTGTCTGTGTATAGGACAGAGACCTCGGAGATCCTTACCTGTCCTGGTACAGATACATGCAGGGCACAGACCTGTCCGGGTACAGGACCAATCCGGGATTTGAGACCCGTACCTGTCCTGGTACTGATACATGCAGGACACAGACCTGTCCGTTTGCGAGACCCATACCATTATTGTTTAAAGAAAGTTGTATGCTTTTATGTTAAGGATAGGAAATCCTATGATTATATCTGTATATATTGACTCGTTCATTTTCACATGCTTCGTCTAACCTATCATTTTTAATCATTTGTTTAATTAATTGTCTTGATTAGGGATATATACTCAAATTCACGGACCCAAACACGTTACAGTTCGTTTAACAGGAATTTGTTGAGCCTTGTCACCATTATAATGCACCATTGAATCTTTCAAAGTAGAATTTTCATAGTGTAGCGATGGCACATTTTCACGGTTAGGGGATGAAAATTGTTATACTTATCTCGAGCGTTACATTTTTTTTTTGTCCTTTACATTCATTGTTAGGAGTAATAAGCAAACAATGAGGAGAGCTCCATATATGAGAATTTCCTTTGTTAACCACGATTATAACCATGTTTCCAGGGAAATGTCGATACAATGCAAATACGGCAGCACCACAAAAAATAAACACAAAAATCCAGGAAATAAAATTGTACATAAAAAATTGCTTATTTTTAGTATTTTGTTTCCTTCGCCCTTTATGCAAATTATCCCACGTTTTCAACTTTCATTGATACCCTGGCATACCCAACAAACTAGACAGTGATTCCATAATTCTCACTTTGTATAACCTATCCTTAATTTGTAGCAATTACCCCACGTGTCTATTCTATGCTGACCGATATATTCATTTATGTAATTATTGCATTGACTTCTGATCTTAGGGATCCAAATATAACTCCTAATTATTGTCATGAGCGGATCCATAGTATAAATACCGCGCTGAAACTTTGTTAGGCATGATTTTGATTTTTGCAATTGGACTGTTAACTGCGTTAGGTACATTATTACATGTATGATTTTTGCAATTATTTGATTTATTGGATTATCTTGCCGTTAATTTAGTGATTGTTCATATATATTTCTGACATGTGTAAATAAACTGTAGAAAAAACCAACTTGAGTCTCATTTCAAGATATGAGGAAGAATTTTACGCTTCCAAAATATAGACTTTTAATACTGAGGACGGAATAGGAATACGAGCGCTCGGTCGGCGTTACAAAGGTACAAAATACATTTGTGGTATTGCTCACATTTTGCTTTCCAGTGATTTTCAATGGGGTTTCTTATCAATATAAGCTTTTGCCTATGCACGTTAACACATTTTACAGAAAGACGTCTCCTCGATTCAGTACATTCAGTTCTTTGATTATATAAGTCAGGCACCGCATTTAAAAGAGTTATCTCTCTTGGTTTATTGACTTCGTGCTGTTAGATCTATATTAACGGTAAAGCTATTTCTAGAGAAAATACCGTAATAAGTTATAGATAGTGACATACGTACAGAGCACAATCCAACTCGTCATGTCGCCTCTTATTTGACATTCACTTTCAAGTATCAAAGCTCTGTCACTCCAATTTTAATTTAGTTCCTTTTGTTTGAACGTTAAACAAAGATATAACATGAAATGCACCACCCTACATTATTTTATTGAAATTTCTTTTTAGAATAACCTTTAATTTTTAAAAATATCAAGAGTTTTTTTCTTACATTAAGAACAATTAGGCCCTACACATATTAGAAATTTAAGTCGTTAAGATTGCTTGTCAGGGTTATTAATCAAATCTCAGATTTCTCAAAAGTATAAGCAGTGATCCACGCCTCTTTTGAAAAGAGATCCGCTCCTCTTTACCTTACTCTGTTGATAGAGATGATTTAATTCAAATTTTAAAGCACTTCATCCTTTTTTTATTTCTTGAAATTTGTCGAATGTATTTACATTCATACATCGTAATATTATTCATTTTTTAAAACTGGAAATTGTTGCGAAGATTTTGAAACATCCATGAAAGACATTATTTCTAAAAAAAAAAATATATATATATATATATTTAAACATTGAGATAAAATCTGCCCCTTTTGACTTTAAGCAATGGAGAGATCCGCTCCTTCTATTTCCAACATATAAAAGAAATTTAATTCGCTCCTTTATTGAGAATCCGATCCTCACTTTCCATTGAAATATAGAATCCGCTCCCTTTATCCATGATATAGATTCCTTGTGTTTACAACTAGATGTTTGATTTAATTTCTCCTCCAGCTTATCTTACTCTGTCGATAGATATGATTAAATTTCATTTTTTTTTTAAACATTTCATTCTATTTCTTTTTATCAAAAATCACCGAATTTAAATCCTGTAATATTATTCATTTTCAAACTAAAAATTTCGAAATATGTATGAAAGACTTTTTTCCAAAAAATATTTAAACAGTGTGATATCATCCGCCCCTTTTGTCTGTAAGCTATGGGGGATCCGCTCCTTCCTTTTCAGTACCAGAGTACCAGAGAGATCCGCTCCTTTATTGACAAACCCGCTCCTCATTTATCCATGATATAGATTCCTAGTGTTTACAGAATCTCCCTGGCTTGTTGTCCGTTCACATGTTGATTCTATTACCTGTAATAAGAAAACTCTAATGAAGCGAACACGGCAATCACGTTAGGAGCCACAGAGGGCGCTCTCAGGAGACACAATTACCCCGGTCTCATCTGACAGCGTGGGAGCTCCGGTACCTAGATTTACCCCGCTCTGAGTGTGGACCCCGCCCCTGTACGCCTTTCTTTAGTACGGAGTCGTGGGTGGCATTGATCGACCAGGTAAATCTAGGTAAATCCAAGTAACTTCATAGAAGCTAGGGCCCCGGGCCTGCTGCTGATGAAATCTTACTGGAAAGGATTTAGTCATAGGCGGAGGTAAGTCCCGGGGGTCGGGCAATGTTTTTTAAGCTTAGCGGTCAATAAGATGCACCAGATCACCGCACTAATTGATCTCATTTATTATTCAGCATCTTTCATCGCGTGAAATAATTGACTACAGCCGAGGTATAATTATTACTGCATGTTGGAAATATTACAGAGAACGCTATACAAACTTTTGACCATTACTCCGTTACCAAGACAATATGCATTTCATGGGAATTAATTAAAAACGAGACGTATATAAACCTAAAGGTAAAAATGACATAAAACTTGTCTACATAAATAACATATTAAAATCTGAAGTCGTCTAGCTGTAATTATGGAGTGTGCATTGCTGCGTCTACGTTCAGGTAAGCTATACTTAAGATCGGGATTCTGCCGTATTAAAAAAACTTTACATTAATTACAGGTATTGATTAATCACGGGTTTTGTCTTTTTTTTTTCACCTGCAACGCCAATATCATTTCTTCATCCCCGTTTTGTAATTAAGATGTTCTTTTTTTCTGCTACAGAATAAATCAGGGATTTATCACAGTCTAGCGTCAAACATGGTAACCATGACAACTGTAATGCTGTTTTGCTGCTTAGGAACATTAACACAGGGTAGGTAAAAATCAGGCGCGGATCTTATTATTATTTTTTTAAACTTTTTTCTACAAGTCTTTTTAATTGATTAAAGACAAGAAAAACTTCAGACAGTAATAAAATAATATTTGACACATTGATTATCATTTGGGCATTTTTTTTCTTTCTCTCTTTTTTAACAGTAAATTTTCGTTGACATTTAGAAATCTAAAATAACCATTGAGGTATGTGAATTTTTTTCCCCAAAGTACCATGTGTTTATGAATTGATTTTCAACACGTTAGATAAAAAAACTCGTATTTTCTTTTTATGGTATGTTTTTTAAAGACTCTTACAAATAAATTTCTATAAATTATTCTTATAAAATTTCATTGAAATTCATATGAAAGTATTATGTATATGTGTATTAGTTAAACTTTGCTTCGTATAGGATAACAGACTTTGATAAATTTCACAATGTTTTTATTTCTTTAATTTTTTTTCACTTACGACACGAGATGCACGTTTATATAATAAACGACAGCTGTGAATATTTAGTCGTTGATTATCTTAACTAAGTACGCTCTTTTTCCTTGCAGTGCAGTATCATTTATTGCTCCATAAATCAAAATGTGTGCATAAACCTATAAACCTACTTGTAAGCAATTCATAGGAATGTTATTAATTATAACGAAGCATGGTGTTATTTATATATTTAAAGCTTTAAGCCCAGCGATACCAAAGAAAAAAACGAGGGGGGGGGGGGGGGTAAAGATATACTCAGGGTCGCTGTTTCTACATACGTGCAGCAAAATGTCATATATTGTTATTTCGTATTTATTGCATGTCATGCTTTTCTTTCACCAATAACACAGGTATCTGTTGAATGCTTATAGAATTTGGTGCGGTAATTAGGGAAGAGTTATCGCCCGTTCCTCACAGCAGCCGTTCTCAATTGTCATTTAAGACATTCTCTGCGTCACCCTTGATCTTAAAATTTTAAAAACCTAGCAGACATTGTTATAAAGTGTCACCTGAGTATTTTTTTTTAAATTTTGTCGCTATGTGTTGTGTCACGGAATTAAACTTCGCGGTGTGACACCGGCTCAATTTCCAACTGTTTCCGATTGTATTCTTAACCTGCAAATGCATACAAATCCAATGTAAAATGCACTGTTTATATGTAGAAAACATTTCATCTCAGCGTCAAGCCCACCTTTGATAAACCGAATTCCTTAATTGTCCCGATTTAAATAGGATAGGAAACGTAAATGGCGTCTTTGCACCCATTGAGCTGGATAAAATAATATTTTTTATACAGAGCAAACATAAATTTATTTGAAATAAAATGCCTGTGTCTTTATTTTTTTTTCCATAATGAATTTCAAGATACATCGGTACTAAAATTCGTGGATCCGCTCCTGATTTTTGATTTTTTTTTTTTTAAAGTGATAAATTTATTGTAATTATTGACTTACACACAAGTAATGTACTCTTAGTTTCAAAATATTTCTTGAATAATAAACTTCCTAAACGTTCAATATAAAGAGAGTGTAGGTTTTCATTATTTCAAACTCACGCCGACTGTAGTATATTGTATAGTTTTTGGCAATTAGTTGTTAGTATTCAGATTAGTATGAAAATTCGTTATGAATGCATATATGTTATCCGAGGACTCGAATGTCTACACGCGACACCGTCTTGATCTTTTCCAGCCCCTGTTGGTGTCGATAGGAGCCTGTTGTTTTTAATCATATTTACCTGAATGAATTTTTATAACAGTTGAGGGCGCCGTCCTTGTCTTTATGCGTTATTTTGCTGGCGTGTACACATGTTTACTGTCTAGAAATGAGTCCGATGTCACTAAGCCGCAGTTTCGTAACTCCATTTGCCTTCTTTCTCACGATATCTGAGGTTTTAATTTTTGTATTTTTCAACATTACGATGTCTTTACTCTTTAGTCTTCATGTATGGAAATTTTTTTCTTACTTTGATTGGAATATTGGCCGCCGGTCATGACTTTGTTTTGAACATATTTTATTGACAATATGTCAAAGGGATTGAACACAAGTTCTAAAAACCTAGATAGTCCTCTCCCATACATAAAATCTTAATAGCCATACAACATTTACAAAGATTTACAATTCTACAATAATATACATGAACGTAGAAGAACAAAAACAATAGTTATTATTGCTAAGGAATATCAATTGATATAATGATGATTATAATGACATAACCATATTAGAGTAGTTTCAAAAGGTAGTAAATACAAGTACATGTAAGTGTTAATTGAAACGACCAGTATCCTGAATAAATTTTTGAACAATACCAAATATTTTTTTCATTTTCCTGCAAAGATAATGATTCATCTCCCCATAGCAGTTTATGCACATTTAACATCTTTACATTATTAATTACAAGTAATGCATTCAACATTAAACGTGTAGCTTCAAGATATTTTCTACACACAAAGAAATAATGATGACTATCCTTCTTATATCCACAAGAACAATTTGGATACGTTATAATGTTACATCTATACAAGTCATGATTTAAAATACAATTGTGCCTTAATCTTGTATGTAATATGTTCAAATACCTTTTGCCGTATGATAGATACTTGGGAGGCTTGTCAATATTATTATTCAATTTTCTTTTAAAAATTCCTATTGAAGTTATTTCCCTTGTTTCGTTACTCAATGAATTCCATTTGCGAATATTATTGGGGACAAATGACTTATTTAGTAATTCAAGCCTGCATTTTGGTAAAAAATAATTACTTGAATTACGAGTATTATAATTTGAAACATTGTTTCTAACGACTGGTACTATATTTTTTAAATAACCAGGAACTAGATTATTGTGGATTTTAAACATTGTTAAAAGTTTAGCTTTGTCCCTTCTTTTTATAAGAGGTTCCCATCCTGTTTCAACATACAACGAGTTTCTTAACGCTGTGGTGGTCTTGGAGGTACTGGGCACGAATTGCCCTGCTACCTCCAACCACGTGGTACACGACACGCACCTGCCGTGACGTGTACCTATCCTCGCTCTCTTTTTCTGTTATCTGCTGCAGAGTGCAGACGTGTCTCTGCCAGCTCCGTTATTATTGTATTTGTAGTTATTATATAGTATATAGCGGGCACTAATAAATCGCGTATTTTATCATAGTGTTGTCTCTATTCAGCCATCACCGTACTTAGGTAATAAGTAGCATATAGTAGAGAGAAACGCTATATTGGCGCTGCGAGCAGGGTATTTTAGTTTAACTGCGGGGTAATACCTGGCCCGCACGTGTTAGTGTCCGTCGCCATCTTGGATATTTTCCGAGATGTAAGACAGCAGTATTTGTTTTATTTTATTTTGTATATACGTTTATACTTGCGTTTGTTGTTTAGCGGATTAACCGCCTTAATATGTAAATTTATATTTTGCCGTGTTAGTGGTTGCCGGGCATAATGGACCGTGATTTCAGTTCCTTTGGTTTGGGGAGGGGGACTGTGAGGCCTAGGGGGGACTGGGACGCTCGTGTTGGGGGAAATGACCAAGAGGGTCTGGGGAGTACCCCGGGAGGGCGCAGTCCGCGGGAAGTCCCGCCTTCCGGAAGCGTGAGGTTTGCTCCGGGTGTGTGTAGCACACCGATGCCCCAGGGGGAGGGTGCCCCGGATGTCACCCGGTATGGGGGCGGAGACATGTCGCTTACACGGGGGGCTGATTCTGATGGGTCTTTGGAGACGCCCGGTTTCCAGCAGTTTTATTCCCTGCTCCAGGAACGACAGACTATTCTGGAGGGGGTCGTTGACCGAATTCAAGGGGAAATGGGTCAAATTCAAGGAAATATTACACAAGTTCAGGGGGACCTTGGTGCGGTTAATAGCAGAGTAGATAGCCTTGGTCGGGATGTAGGAGCTCTGCGGGGCGATATAGGCTCATTAGAAGCCAATGTGACATCTCAGATGGGGACCTTGAAAACCGACATGACGTCTCAAATGGGTTCTATGGAATCAAGTATGGGAACTCAATTAAGCGAAATAACTCAAATGCTTGCGGGAATGATGAATTCTGATAAACCGCAGTCAGTAGCTAAACCGCAGGGTCTCAAGGTCACTGCCAGTCCGTCTGTAATGACTAGTAGCCAGGGGAGTCCCTGGGTTCCTAGTTCATTGCCAGAGCAGTGCCTTTCCGTTGAGCAGCCCGCAGCTAGTTTGTCGAGTTCGGACCCGTTTCTATCCATAATTCCGAGGTCACGTCTGTTTCCGCATCTCAAGGTCAGCCACTTTCTTCAATAGGCTACAGTAGTCTTGGCTCGTCCTTGCCGAGTACTATTACATTTGGCTCGTTCTTATCAGGGGACACAATGAGAGGGGGTATCCTATACATCCCAGCATGGGCCCACCCGTCCCGGGTCATGTTGCTGGGGGTATGGGCATGCCAGTTACAGCACCCACTGCATCGGTGTATTCTAGTGCAGCTAACTTGGGTAGTCAGGGCTCTGGCTACTATGGTGGGTTGGTTGGGCAGTCGGCGGCACTAGGGGGAGGACAGTCATTTGTACCTGGAATAGGGGGTTGGTCTTGGGTACCTCAAGGTCACACTTTAATGACTACTGCGGATACATCCCAGTTTCCGAGGTACTCGGAGTAGCGTGAGCAGGAATATTCCAGCTGAAATAAAGTGGATGAAGTACAATGGGGATGTAGAGTGGGGACCATTCTATTCAAAGTTCTCTACTATCGCTGAATACCATCAGTGGGGTGACCCCGATCGTCTGTTTGCCCTAAGTTTGACATTGGAGGGGGCAGCGCTCAAGTACTTCGATATCCTGCGTCGCAGGGGGGCCCTGTTAAGTTTCCGTGAAGTTGTCCTCCGAATGGAGGAGAGGTTTGGGAAAAGTTCCTTAAGGGCAGCCTCACAGCTGGAATTCAGCTCGATTGCCCAAAAGCCAGAAGAAACCATGGAACAATGGGCAGATAGAGTCATGGACACTGCCCAGAAGGCCTTTGGTGGCGGAACCTCGCCAGAAATATTTCAGGAGC